CAAATGAGAGGAGCAGTGCATATATGGGAAATGGAATTGACAGATCGGGTTGAGATAAGATTCCATATCTTAGCGGTAACCGGCCAATTAGCGGTAACGTACGTACGTAAATTCAATTGTTAAAGCTACTTAAAAAAATAAATAACTGGATGTGACACATTTTAAAATAACGAATCTGAACATAATATACCATATACAATATTAAGTTGGTTTTTTTATAGTACGGTGGGAGTATTCATGAACTGTACATTTACATTTGAAATGGAAAGAAAGAAAAAACCGCAAAATAGAAATGAAAAATCGAAGAACAATTAATGAAGAGAGAAGCACTCCTGCACCTCAATTGTGTTCACCGGGTCGTGAATTATTTAGTTAACTAAAATAAAAATAACTGTACTTTGTAGTTGTCTATTTGATTGAATATCTATCTATCTATCTATCTATCTATCTATTATTCCTATAAACGGTCTCAAACCGCCACATGGCATTATACAAACACTCTTAAATCGCCACATGGCATTCTAATAAATAAAAAAAATTCCTATAAATTCTAAGAAAAAAATAAAACATCTGTCCATTCGTTTTGATTAAAATCGGTAGACCCATTGTTTCAAGCCGTTAGATTTATCTACAAAATCTTTCCACCTCCACCTCCTTCCTCCCACACGTAACATCACTTTCCCTTGTATATGTAGTCACATAAATATATAACAATTGATTTACGCATGTACAGGTGTAGAATAGATTAGATCAAATCATTAAAGTAATTAATCCCGGCCCTCTCTTCTAATCTATGTGTATTTGCAAGAGGGAAAAATAAATATATACTATTCATCCGGATAAAATATATGTATGTATATATGCATGTATAGGAGACTATTATTTGGAAAAAAAAAAAGAAAACATGCATATGTACGTACATAAAAAAAAACTATTGACCATGTCTTCCGACAAATACTCCCAAACCACCACGTGTACTCCTAAAAACATTCCTAAACCGTCATGCGGCAATCTAATTAACCGGTGGATCCACTATTTTAGATTTTCAGCTATTAGATTTACAATTATATGGTGGACCTGATATCATACGTACATTTCCATGTACGTGATCTCCTTTTGTGTACGCCCTCCCCTCTGTCCCTTTTCTCTCCTATTTTCATGATTTTCATGCTATTTTAGTTAGATGGAAATCATAATTTATAATAATATTTATGTTAAAAAAAATAAAACCAAATCACCGTCCTATACACTTTTGTACAAACGGACCTCCTTCGTACGTGTTCCAAGGCCAGTGTCCACCCTCCTTTTTTTATATATTATTTAAATTCAAAGTAGACCGAATATTTTTAACCAATAAATTATTAAATTATTATTATTTTATCAAATAGATTTTATACCTTCTGATTAATAAAATACACTAAAATTAGAATAATCTAAGTAGTTTAATTAGAAAATACAACACCCAAAGTATTTTAAATTAGATCTAAGATTAAATGTATTTATAAAAATAGATAACTCAAAATTATAGGATACATTCGATCTATCTTAAAAATAATAATCTCCTCCCATCATCCTGTCTTTCGTAATACCACTGTGGCTCTCGCATTCTCTCCTCTCCAATGCAATTATCACCTCTTCTTTTTTTTCTAACTAACATAATATAAAACAATCATAACTATTATTTTATTTATAATTAAACATTCATTAGCTATATTTTTCTATATAAAAGTTAAAATATATCATTTGAAGGTATACCCTACCGTTTGCATGAACACTAAATAAACATGAAAATTAATTGAAAATATGTATTGTGTTATACTAAATCATTGTACATAACAAAAATCAATTAAAGACCCTCCAGAGTGTCCGTAAGTCACCAACCACATAATTAAAACAACCATAAGCTACATATATGGAATACTCCTATGCATTTTAAATCAGTTGATCTTATATATAAAAAAACAAGCGTGTATTCATGGTACATCACATTTAAAAAATATTATTGCGTAATTATATTTTGTCGTTATCGTATTCATATTAGGTTGTGTGGAGCCTCTCACTCACTCTACATGAAATGTTCACAAATAGATCATCTCTCAAACTACATCAATTATATTAGGCTATATAAACCCATACATTTATTGGAGCTTCATGTCCCATCCAATTCATCCTTTAGTAAACTATGATAATATATATGCAACTAAAAAACAACTTACTTTTACTTACGTTGACATGTTTTCTAAATAAAGTAAGACTATATTCTTTTCAAATGATGAAGAAGATAATAAATAATTGCTTATAGATATTACTTAAATATGATTTAACATAAAGCTAGTAGGTTATAAAATTATAAAAGCAATTAATGCCACGAAAACAATTTATAGAGAAATCATGGGAGGTGTTCTCGGGTTAATATTTCACTTTTATAAGTATCTCAAACTTAACGTACGACACATGCCCGTGCGAATGCGTGGGCTACCTTCCTAATTATTACAAAAGATGAATAGTCTAACAAAATTTAAAAAAAATCAACAGTATCATATCTTAAAAAAATAGGGATAGTAACTATACCCTGTGTCCGGCCCTTACATGCATGTACATACTAGCTATGTATATCTTGCGATCGAAAAGCAATGTAAAAAAACAAAAAGAAGAAAACTCGGTGACTGAGATCACCAACCGTAGAATCTAGTGAAGATATTTTCCAGAAGGAAGAAAAAGTAAATTGGTGACCACAAGCGAAGCCGTCTGTTGACCGCGATCAACTTTTTTTTTTTTAGAATTACCGCAATCAACATAGGCGTAGAGTAATGTTGGAAATACCTCTGCCTGGATATTCTTTTCTAGAGAAAGAAGAACTCTACACGAAACCGAAATTGATGTAGCTAGGCCCTGGCCCATGTTAATGATACAAAGAATTATTTTTTTAATCCATAAATCATTTATTATCGCAAGATAGTTCATTAAAATGTATAAAAATCTTTCTCGTGAAACGGCATGTAGTTTAGTGGTTGCACTGATCTAAGTAGCACCCAATGTCCTGAATTTAAATCTCCGTAGGAGCGAATTTCAGATTGGGTTATTTGAGGGTTAAGTTCCCTGTTCGATAGTCTAAGTTCCTAATTTAAAAATACCACATGTATCCGGTTAGATATAGATGCCCCTAAAAAATACCCTTCTCAAAAAAATAAAAATAAAAATCTTTCTCCAAAAGTTAGGAGCAGCTCCAACACTCCCGCCAAATGATCAGACACCTCGACCGGAGTTTTTGGATTATTAAGATGGTGTTGTTTGAAGCTAGCATGTGACCGAGTGACAAGATTTGTTTATGTCTGTTCGGACCTATCAATACTTATATCACCATAATTATTATGTTGTCAATTTTTTATTATGAGATCATTATAAAACTATTAAAGCCACCTACATATATCTAGATGTGATTGAGGAACTGGTAATAAGTACTCCCTCCGTTCTGCAATATAAGGGATTTTGAGTTTTTGTTTGCAACGTTTGACCACTCGTCTTATTTAAATTCTTTTTCCAAATATAAAAAACAAAAAGTTGTGCTTAAAGTACTGTAGATAATAAAGTAAGTCACAAATAAAATAAATAATAATTTCAAAAAATTTTAAATATGATGAGTGGTCAAACGTTACAAGCAAAAACTTAAAATCCCTTATATTATGGGATGGAGGGAGTACCTTGCCATCGGTGGAGGGTGGTGGATGCAAAGAGGATACTGGTTAGTTTGCTGTGGTTGGATAGTGGTGGCCATGCATAGCTATAGCCAAGGAAGTATGGAGGCGCCAGGTAATGAAAAAGAAGCAAATTATAATTTATTACGATGGAGAACAAAAAAAATGTCAAAACTATGGCAACTGACCTCTTGGCTTACCCAATATACACAAACGGATAAAACATCGTTTAACGGTGTAACGTAGTAAAAATGCGTTTCATTTATCTGCTACCTTAAAAGCATAGTCGTCCTCCTTCCATCCCGCCCCTTTCACATAAACAAACCAATCTCTTCCTAATAAAACCAATCTCTTCCTAATAAAACCGATAACACATCACTTCCCTAAGAAAACCAACGATACCAACGGAATAAAAAGAACGGTTTTACTATTTTCGCTTGCAACAAATTTTTAGGCTTTTATCTTTCACTTTTTTATCTGTAGAATGTTGCATCATCATCCATCAAGATTTGTATTCTTATATATTCAATTTACAGTTACACTCGTTACATAGCACTCACACTCAGTTATAACACACTTATACTTGATAATACTTACTTCCTCCGTCCCATAAAAAACCAATCTAATACTAAATGTGACATCCTAATACTACGAATCTGGATATACCTCTGTCTAGATTCATTGTACTATAATATGTCAAATCTAGTACTAGATTCGTTTTTTCGGGACGGAGGGAGTAAGTTATATAATACTTACACTCAATTAGAGTGCATCAAAACGATTTTAGAACAGTTTATTTCTCTAGATTTATGATTTTTGACATATTCATCTTTTTTTTCATTTCATTTAAAACAGGTTGTATCCATTAGTTAAAGATTCTGTAAGATTTGAAGCTATAAACACCGTTGTAACGTACAAACATACCACTCCGTACCTGACCTCCATAGGTCGAGAGGCAATGACCCTACACCGGCAACAAACAAGTCGGTCGACACCCCCAAACCCCGAAACTCTCTTCCGCCTTTTACCACCCCATTATTCAAACGAACCTCGAAAGCACACAGCACAGGCACCGCACGCAGTGCATGCAGATGGAACGCGCACAACAACACACACAACCCAACCCAACCCCAGCGCCATCCATCGTCTGCCGATCGATCGATCGATCGACAGAGACGACGCTGCTGCTGATCCTTTCACCGTGCCGTGCAGGAGGCAGCCACAGCCACGGCCACCACCAGTCCACCTCCACCACCCCCGAATAAACCTCTGGATCGCTGCCTGCCCCCCCCCCCCACCCCCCCTGCCACTTTCCGCAGCGCCTAATCATGCGCGCTGCAGGCCGCTGTCTGTCTCCACGCCCCCCCGTACACCAACGCACCGCACCTCCCCCGGACAAAAAAGCCACTTAAAACGGTGCAACTTGTGTTTGCGTTTGCGTTGGCCTTGGCCCTTGTGATTGTGGACGAATAATCAAAACCTCTCCTCCCCTCTTCTGCTGCTGCTACTACTACTGGTCTACTGCCTCTCGCCTCGCCTCCCTCACGTTGGATCCCGTGGAGTTGAGATGATTCGTAGGGAGGCGTAGGTTGTGGTCGTTGTTGCGGTTTGGAGTTGCACCGGCGAGATCGAGAGAAAGGGGTGGTTCGTGGGATGGATTCCGGCAACAGCGGGAGTCTCCAGTCGTCGAGTGGAGGGGACGACGAGTTCGACTCCAGATGCGGCGGCGGTGGCGTGGACTCGTCGCCGCTCTCCGCGCTGCTGCGGCAGTCGGCGTCGGCGTCGGGGTTCGGTGGTGGCACTGGCTCGTTTTATGGCTTGCAGGAGCTCGCGTCGCCGCCGCCCCAGCTGCCGCCCTTGTCTCAGGCGGCGGCGCATCAGTGGACGGCGCCGCTTCCCGGTGGAGGTGGAGCGGGGGGAGCGTCGTCCTCGCCGCCGTCGTCGTCGTCGCCGCACGGCGTGCAGGTCTCTGCCGAGCAGGTGGTGGCGCAGCAGGGACAGGGGGTCGGCGCGCCGCCGGCGAGGGGGTCGAGGAAGCGGACGCGGGCGTCGCGGCGCGCGCCGACGACGGTGCTGACCACCGACACCTCCAACTTCCGCGCCATGGTGCAGGAGTTCACCGGCATCCCCTCGCCGCCCTTCGCCGGGCCACCCGCGCGCTCGCGGTTCGACCACCTCTTCCCCGCCCCCTCCTCCCTCCGCTCCGCCGCTACCGCCGCCGGCGGCGGGAACCCGTCCTCGCTCCCGGCCTACCTCCTCCGCCCGTTCGCGCAGAAGCACCACCCTTCCCCGTTCCCGCCTTTCCCCTCGCCCTCCACGTCCTCGCCGTCGCCGTCCAACATTGCCATTGCAACCTCCACCGCCGCCGCAACCACGGCGGCGGTGGCGGCACCCGGCGACAGGTACCACCTCGCGTCGGCGCCGTCGTCCTCTCTCCTAGGGATGCAGGATCACGGCGGCAGTTACCTCTCCTTCCAGAGCCACCTCGGCGGCGCCCAGCTCGGCGCCAGCGACGACGTCAAGTACACCGCGCACACCATGTTCGACGCTCCCGGCAGCGACCTAGCCCCGCGGCCGCCGCCGCAGAGGCTGCAGGATCCGGCGGCCGGCTTCCTCGGCCTCACGCATGGCATCATGGGCGCCGACGGGTCGCACATGCACCAGCAACAACGAAGCCGCGGCCACGGCCACGGCGGCGACGAGCTGTCCGGCGTGGTCGGGGGCGCGTCCATGACCCGGAGCGTCGGCGGCGGCGGCAAGAAGACGACCTTCTCGTCCGGCGCCGGCGCGGCGGCCCACGCAGCGCCTCAACTGGAGCACAATGCGGAGAGCACGTCGGTCACCGTCGCCGCAGCGCCGACACCTTCGTCGGCGGCGGCGACGGCGGCGATGAGAACGCAATCCGTGGACTCGTGGATTTGTACATCGGAGTAGGTCAATTCACTCGCTTCATTATATTCCAAGAGCAGATTGGCTTGTAGTAGTAAAGCTCATTTAGCTAGTAGCTTAATTTCATTTGGTTCTTTAATATCTTATTAATCTCTACTACTCCTTTGGGTGTTTAATTCCCCTATTTGCATATGCTCTTTGTGTAGATCGATCAAACCAAACAACAAGATCATACTATCATAGTATATCACTGCTTATTACAGTTAATTAATCACATTCATGTAGGGGACAGTTTCATATTAATGAAGTTGCATGTATGTCTCCATTAGCAGCAGCTCGTGCGCTTGTCCTTGTGCTAGTGTTTCACCTGTCCTACTTGCTTTCGTCACACGCAAGCTGGTAGGTGTAGATAAGAGTCAGAGAGAGAGATAGATTAGAGAGATCACTGATCAGAGTAGTTGCTCTCCTGCTTAATTCCATTTCAACCTGTCCATGCTTCTTCTAGTAGAAAGATAATCCCAAGATTTTTACCTGACCATATATATATAGAATAATCACCGTCAGCTAACCCATTGGCTAGCGCGATTAGCGGTGAGATTTGACAGCGTAAAATGGCAAAGAGAAGATTTGTTACATCGGCTGTTAATCTCTGGGGCATATACTAATGTAGGGTTCATTGGCCACATGCATGAGCAGCTGAAGCACGGAACAAAAAGGAGCGTCTTTTGTCAGAAAGATCTCTTTTGGCCTTTTAGATCTTTCAAGGTTTAGACGGCTACCTACTTTCACATGGATGTAATATAATACTAATATAGTATTGGAATATAAAAACGGTGGATATTAGACTACCAGCACTGTCCAACAACCGTATCTCCTCGAGCTTAGCATCCACACACAAAGCCACTTAAAAAATGCATGGGGTAGCATTCAGGGAGCAAAAATCTGATCTTTCTTCGTGATTTTCTCCACTCGTGACGAGTATAGATGCAAATAGGGAGTAGTAGCAGTTTGTTTGCATGTGTATTCTTTACATACTACATAATAGTATATTATTTTTCACTATGTGTAGGTTACTGATTGAATAATATGTGCCCAGTGACAAATACACTATTTTTAAAGTAAACTAGAAAGGTAGCCGCGCTGATGCGCGGGCATCTTATTTAGTAGTGTTTAAAATTTGGGCATCTTATTTAGTAGTGTTTAAAATTTTGTTATGAATGTTTATGTATATATGATTTCTTTTTCAAAAAATTTCTCTTCTAAATATGTATATATCAATAATTTGTTTGGGAATGTTTTGAAAGTTAGTTTCGATCATTGGACGTACGGACGTGTGCTAAAAGGGACATGTTTCTGGACATTTGTCTATACGCATGTTGGACCGACGGGGATGTCAGGTCCTTTAAGGGGGGTGTCTGTGACATTTGTCTATACACATGTTGGACCGACGGGGACGTCAGGTCCTTTGAGGGGTGTCTGTGACATCCTAATTCGATTAGGATATGGCCTATGTTTTATTGAAAGAATATGATATGTGTTGTCTATAAGCGTTGTGTGCACTTCAGTACTACCGTATTGCTAGTTAAGCAAGAGTGCAACCAACTTGTAAGGCACTGCCCTTCTAACCATATCATTTTCGTGTTGACTATTTTACATAAAGCGAGAACGAAAGTGTAAGTGTGGGTGGTATTTGTAAGTGGACGTGCCGGTTGAATGGGCTGGGATGTGTTGTTCTGGAGAACGAGTTGTTACAAATTGTAAACTAAAATTACTTGAATCATGTCGTCTTAAATTTATAAGAAAAAATGTCGCAACAATGGATCCGGTTCATATGAAACTATCATTTATACTACATGTGTTTCTTTTTTAAAAAAATTTAGCATCTTAATTTAAACTTTTAAGTAATACTTTTTCTTGTATACTAAAGATGTATTAATAGATTTTAGGATATATTAAGTTAAGAAATTTCATATTAAAAAATACGGTAATGTGACTTCTTTATCTAATTAAAGACATAATTACATATGTCTATTTGCTTGTACTACCTCCATCCATAAATTGAAGGATTCAAATTTTATCCTAAGATATAAAGGATTTTAATACTACTCGTCCCATCCAACCATCCATTATTCAATTTTTATCCAACAGTACTCTAACTATCTTCTAACTCTGCACATACCTCATATTTAATGAGTCTTATTTAGAGAGGGGAATCTTAGTATATTTTTTTCATTCTTCCTTAATTCCTATAAAATTTTAGGATTCAATATAGGATGGACATAGTAATTAAAAAGAACTTCATTCATATACGGATTAACGGATTTATCTGTACGTTTGTAGATTGATTTAGCTTTACATATTTGTATAGGTAAATAGACCTCGTATATATGGTATATATGTTGAGAGATATAATTAAGTTAGTAGAAGTCGTTAGATGTCTAATAGTATAAAGTAATGAGTCCACCATTTTTATTAAAAAATTATTAAGTACTGAGTCCACCATTTTTATTAAAAGATTAAGGTGGATTTCTTTAGGGATAATTTTTAGGATTTTCTTTTATCCGGTGGTTAATTTAATTGCCGTAAGGGAAAACAAGGAGGCGAGAGCCGGTGGGTTCGTCTCATATGTAAGGAGGGAAGTGGATATGTGCATTGTACATACGGATTTTGACGGCCTAGTCGATCCATAAGTTTTATTATTAAGATATAGATCTAACATTTTAAAATAAGGTCTACTGGTTTGGGTAAGATGATTGTTTTTTCTCAAAAATTTTTATATTAAGATATATTAGAGCGTCATATGGTGATTTAGGAATGTTTATAGGAAGCTATGTGGTAGCTTGAAAGAATTTGTAGGACATCTAATGGACTTTTAATATATAATAATAGATAATTCATGTCATATTAATTAATATATCAATCAATAATTAAATAATTTGTGTGTGTAGTGTCCTGATAATCTTTTTATGGGTTCACCACTGAAAACAAAGGGTATATATCCAAGTAATGTCTTGATAATTTTATTTTTGAGTTCGCCCCTGGAAATTAAGGGTATATACATCCAAGTTACATATTATAATTTTTATATAAAAATATATGTACCAAGAGATTATTTAGCTATCTAATTAATTTTTATACTATGCATTTGGTTGTTAGCCAGAAAATTGGAAAGATGGAAAGGGAGGGTTAGACGGGGAGAGAGGGAGTACGTACATACATGTGCGCATTTTTTTTCGTTTTAAAACGTATTACGTGAACTTGTGTTCGGAGGGGGGAACGTACAGATTTTTTTTTTGGAAGATAAAATTTAATGGTGAAAATTAATAATCTAATAATTTAAAATATTGGGTCTACCGATTTAAAGGAAAGTGTCACGTGACGGTATAGAAGCATTTGTAGGAGTGACATGTGGCGGCTTAAGAGTATTTGTATGAAATTTAATGGACTTTTAGTAAAAAAAACACTTTGTTCCGATCACATAGAAATTCTCCATTTATCGTAACAACTCATTATCACTATTATAAAAGTTCATTACCTATTAATAGATGAAATTGCATATGTGCAAATAAAATAAGCCTAATATATCATTAATGCACTACTTAGCTAAGTCTTCATGTCTCACTTATTTCCAAATCCATATATAAATATTCTAAAAGTATCACTTTCTACCAACTAATAGGATAACAACCTTTAAGTTAAACATGAATGCCTCACTAATAGGTGATCTATTACCTTGAAAGTTGGGTACCTCATCGATGTAGCTGTGTCCCCTCAAGATCAGCATAAAGCACAATTTTAATTCCTAATTTACTATAACATTCTCATAGAGTACTATAACATACTTGGGCCACCTCAACTTAGCCATTTGTATGCCACGTGATCCACCAATTTAAATAAAAATTGATAGTGAGATTATATAGTGCCACATGACGATCTAAGAGCATTTGTAGGAGCACCGCATAGCAACTTAGAATTTTTTAGGTAGTTTAGTAGACTATTAGTATATAATATTTTTTCTTGCTGCGGACAGTACTACCGAAACTTTATTTCCTTTTCAATCCTACTTTTTTTAATAGGTACTATGTATACATCTGATCTAATGGTCTAAACAGGTGCACCAATTTAAACGAAAATCGAGGGTGAGACTACACAGTACCACGTGGCGGCCTAGGAGCATTTGTAAGAGCTCCATATGGCGACTTAGAAGTGTTTGTAGGATCACAAATTAGATATATAATTTTAAAATAATTTTAAAAGATGAACATTTATAGATGGTTGATTTGATATTTATATTATAGATCTAGTTTAACACTACATGCAATATATTTCATCTTTATATTGTAGATAGTTCTATTTTAAAGGCCATCGATTTTTTCAGATGGTACTAAGTACTTATGTTTTACTTTAGCTCTATCTTTATAGTAAGTACATGCATTTTTTTCTTCCGGCAAATATTATGTACATGAGAAAGGTGTTACATATTTAATAGTATAAAATAACAGGTCCACTAATTTGAAAATCAATAACACATATAGATAAAATATGAATCCATCTCAATTTAAGTGAAAATCAACATTAAAATTAGTTCAGCTGCATGTGTATATTTGTGGGCCAATATATTTCAACTTTATATTGTAGATATTTGCTTTTTGATAGTACTAATCATGTATGTTTTATTTTGGTTGTCGTATGTACGTACGTACGTTCTATTCCTTCGGCAAACCGTACGGAGAAAGGTAATATATATATAGATCTAATCTGTTGGTATAAAATAGTGGGTCCACTAATTTAAACGAAAATCGACGTTATGTATAAATCTAATCTAACGGTATAAAATAACGGGTCCACCAATTTAAATGAAAATCGACGGTGAGATTAGACTATGCCACATGGCGACCTAGGAGCGTTTGTAGGAGTGCCACGTGGCAGCTTGGGAGTGTTTGTAGGAAGATTAATGGACTTTTAGTATATAATAGATAGATTTAAAAAAAACTATAGAGACTTTTATTGAATTATCATCAAACTACAAATTTAAGAAAGTGTATCATGAAATTATAGATTTAATATCGAATTTATCACGAATTTACAAATTTACAAAACTACAGATTTAACAACAATTTTATCACAAAACTACAACTTTTGTAATTTTAGATACATAACAGTGTTATGGTTCTAAATTCTAAAATATATAGTTCTTTAATAACTTCATTGTTAAATTTGTAGTTTTATGATACGATGCATTAAATCCGTGAAAATTTTGGTGCTAAATTTATAGTTTTGTGATACATATTTATGTAGTTTTG